GGATCTTTGCATGGTATTTACTCCAAATTATTATATTGATAATAGCGGCTGCAATTTCTCCAATTTGAGTCTTACATTTGCATCTAAATACATGTATCCGGTTTTAGGCAAACAACCTGCGCGAATGACTGTTGTTAACGAAGTCATATTTTGAATTAATTATTTTACACAAGTGATCCTCTATTACAGTGATGAAGAAGAGTATTGCTTTTATACCACGACGTGGGTTCAAATCACGTCAACTCCTAATCTAACATCTAATCTAACAATCTATCGTTTGACATTAAAAAAAAAAAAAAAATTATTTTACGAATATTCCAAGCACTGCAATTTTATTAATCTTCCCCTAAAAATTATCCAAGCTCAAATTAGACCGATGATTAGCTAATTGTGGCAATCTGATTGAAGTTAACACCAACAAAATTCATGACTTCATTCTAAAGTACTATGATTTTGTGATGATCTAATTAACCAAAACATTTCCTTAATTGTAAAATGAAACATCCAAGGTTGCCACTTGGGGATGAACTAAAACAACATCATCAAAAAAATGAAAGCATTTCAACAAGTGGTAAGTAAGTGGCCAAGTAGTAAGGGTGCGGACTGCTACTCTCCAATAAACAAAAAAATGTGAAAGGTTTCAGGTTCGATGCTTTGAGCTGGTGGGTCTGCTTGATTATAGCTACGGATAGGGTAAAATTCCCCATAACCTCTCGGACTTGAAATGAGTGGATAACCGTGACTCATCACCAGTATTTCCTTACAAAAAAAAGAGTGGTAAGCAAGAAAATTAAAGAAACGTTCACTTTAAAAATATAAAAAAATATAAAAAAAAAACCCAATTTATCAACTAATTTCTTATGAGAGAGAGACACCTAACGAAACTGTGGACGAAGGATCTTATAGGGAGGTTGGACAAGACTACGACTTCTTATCCATTGACGGATGTCATTTTTTTATTTTTTTAATACATTTGTGTATGGTACTGAAGCGTTGTCACCAACCCATTTAAGTTTTTAGCAATTTGTAGGCCAATGAGAATGTAAAAGACTGACCAATGCCATCAAATTGGTGAGATTAGATCTTCATCTTCTTTCCAACCCCACCACACCCACTGGCCCCCTTTTAATTTTTTAATTTGTCTATGACGACAGACGACATACGACATACAAACAAATTCTTAAATATTCAATACTTAAATAAGTCGTCTTGTTTTTCTAAGTCAACAAACGTTTAGGCCTCGACGAGAGGATTAATTTAGCTAGGACGATTCATTATATTTGAAGATATTTGAAGAGATTTTAAAGAAAGTAATGGATGATAATTTATTTTATTTTATTTAAGTTGAAGATTACTCATGAAGAAAAGTTGTTCGTTTTAATTTTACTATTTTTGTGGAAACTAGTAAGTATATATTTTCTTCACGAGTAACTTTCAAATTCGACAAAATATGAAATTTCATTAATCTCTTCTTTCAAAATGCTTTCAATGTAATGAATAGTCTTATCCAAGTTAGTCCTCCTTATCAAACGAGGCCTTATGGTGAAATATATGCTCTACAACTATAACTAAAAACCCTCACTTTTCAATTAAGAATTCAATAACACCTGTGAAAAATATATAGGATTGGCAATGATACACTTAGCGTAGAATTTACATAAATCTATATATGTTAGGATATGAGGATCCATGTTTTTTATACATGTTTTTGTGGAGTCGATTTCGTAATGTATTTTAATGATCCAACCATTTATCTTTTATGTCTTACCTCAAAGATCAGGTCTACCCAAAGTCACCCAAATTTGTAACCATATTACCATTGGATTAAATTTAGTGTTTCTTTATAAAACCGCATTTGTCCATTTTCTTCACTACAAATAAATATCTTAATAGTTTTGGATTTTCTAATTTTTTTTTTTTTTATAAGGATGCTCTATGAATGATGTATTAAAATATAAACGGTTTGAATTTTTGAAATACGTATTATGAAGTGGACCTTACAAAATGGTTGTCAAAAGCATATGTTCCTAGAATCTAACCACACACGCACGAACTGTTGGTAGGTAAATCAAGTTGGATTTACATCAATCGTAGCCCAAGGCAAGGTGGATTGATTATGAATTTGGTTATGGAAGGCAGCTCAACCATTGGAACAGTCAAGGAGCGTATAACCACTATGGAAACCAGCAGTAGAAAGGCAATTTTGACCCACCACAACCATAATACCAACCAAACCCATGGAGGGTTGCTCACTAAAAAGGGTAAAGAGACAAGGAAGGGGGAGGTGCAAGGCAGTGAGTGAAGGTTGAAGAAGAGGGCGTAGAGGAAGAAGGAAAAAGGGTTGTCGCCGTTCCTAAGAAGTAGCAAGGGGGCCGGATGCTTGGAGAAGAAAAAAATTAGGGTTCAGTTTGGATCACATGAGGAGAGAGAGAATATGGGCGATATTTTTATTTTGGAAATACAAGTCCTTAAAAATGGCTCTTTATTGCTATTGTATGATTTTCTATTTCATTCAATCAAATTAAATCAGGTGACTTATACTCATGTGACATACTTTAGAGGATAACATCGTTATTTTCTTTTTTATAAGCTCTTGACGTTGAATATGGGTGCATAACTAATAGCCTATTTACCCTCCAAAGTAAACTACTATTTTTTAAAAAAAAATATTATTATACTCATTAAAAATTGTCAATTTAGCTTCACATCCACATCTCATGACTTAAATTGAGGAAAATTTTGATGAATAGCTTCAAATCGTACAGCATGGATTTTAGAATTTAGGTAGAATTGTTTTACATTCAAAATATTTTAGAATTTATGTAGAATTGTTAGTACTCTATTTAAGGGAGAATGACAATTTGGTGAAACATCCAATATAAAAAAATAAAAAATCCTTATTTAATTATAATTAAAAAAAAAAAAAAGGAATGATGGGGTGATCCATAAAATATACCATTTAAAAAAGTTAACTAAAAACTTTGAGAATTGAAAAACTCCGTGGGATAGTTGTGTGTGTGTGTGTGTTTTTTAATCAATTTTTAAATGACAATTTTGTAAGAAAAAAAAAAATAGAGCCGCCCGTGTGCCAGTGTGCTAGTTGAAAAGTAAGGCAATACAATTATATTCTAGCTATTGGCAAGAACATTGCCATAAGGGAGGCATGCAAAACTCAGAAGTCATAAGACGCCGTTGCCTAAAGAATAATAGTTAGACGATGATAATGGCCAACACAATGTCCATGCCAAGTAGTATTCCAAATGCATACGATCGAACCTCCCAACTCCCCAAAGATCATTGCTTATTGGCTATTTCGAGAAGTCTACATCCTCTCTTGTTGGAGCACAAAGGTATAGTTGTCCATATACACCGGTGACAGAAGTGCAGAATTTTTGTAGAGTCTGTATAGGCGTTCTTTTCGCCATTTTAACTTGGGGATTAATTTTCAGTAAACGTTACCTTGACTTTGGGATGATTTTTCTTATAGAAAAAATGACTGAGATTAGTTCTATACTTGTTAAAGGTCAAATGTTCAACAATTAGTATTTTAATTTTTCTTAAAACTTGTTTCAATATACAACGATAGTTTCACTAAAGGGGTGAAAAATTTAGGCTAAGTCATACATTGTATCAGCATAACAATTTGGTGTATATTAAACTCTCCATTGACAGAAGTTTGACCTAAAATTTTTCATTGACAAGTAAAGAACAAAAACACTATAGCTTACTATTAGTAACCTTTTTTTTGGGTTTTTGAAGAGAAAATTATACTGATTTTGTTATAGGAAGTGATTTTCACACATCTCTTTTAGCCTCTTACACCCTTGTTTAATTCTAGAAGTTGATTCCGGTTAATTTATTCAAATTAACGACCATAAATAAAGAGACGTGTTTAAGAAGCTTAAAAGGGTGTGTGAAAATCACTTCCTTTATTATAATATAAGAGCTAATACAAACATCAAAGAGCACATTCTAGAAAAAAAAATCCGAGAGGTTGTCCTTAATCCAAAGAGACTTCAACAAAACATAAAAGGCGAACTTGGCCAAAGTAGTTGTCACCATACTGGTGAATTGAGGAGTGAGATAAGCCTGAGATTAAGTACAGGAAATCATCCAAGTCTTGGAATCATCAACACCCAAACTTAAAAGATTGAGACAACACTCCAAAGCCAAAGGAACTTAATGCCTAATGAAAAAGTCAAACACTTCATGAATTGGCACATGAGAAATTTTAAGGACAAAAACTTCAATATCACAAGCAAAATGACACTCTTTGACAATGAGCAGAGCCGGCCGACTCCAAAGAAGACCTGACAAGGAACCAACTAATGTCCATACATACCAATATGAACTTTGTGTCAACACCATCAACGAAATTACTAGAAATTGCGGAGTAGACCTAGGAGGAGCTGATAGCTATCAAGATTAAAAAAAGAATACTGGCACAGTCTTTATATTTATTTTTGGCCTTCAAGGAGTTGTACGAGATGGAAAATCTCATGTACGGTTCTATCATTAGTACAAAAAAACACTTTGCGCGACACATGTCCTTCGTCGCGCAAAGTCAAAAAACGTCGCACAAAGTCAAAAAACGTCACGCAAAACTTAGACCAACGCACCTTCGTCACACGCTAACCATCACGGCAAGGCAGTGACAGAAGGGTTTGCGCGACGAAGAAGAAAATGCGTCGCGCAAAAAGGCTTTGGGCGACGTAGCCTACGTCGTGCAAAACCACTTTGCACGATGCGTGTGGCTAGGTTGCTTAAAGAGGCTTTGTGCGATGTAGGTTGCATTGCGCAAAGCCTTTTTGCGAGACGTAGACTGCATTGCACAAAGCCTCTTTGCGCGACGCAGGGACATGCGTCTCGCAAAGTGGCTTATGTGCCTTTGCGCGACGTAGGTAGAATCTTCGTTGTGTGAACCCTTTTTTTTTTGTTTTGGTCAAAAATATTATTTTTAAAATTTTTAATAAATATTGTAATTAAATTCTAAACAATAATTAATTAACCAAGGTAAAGTATTTAATTATAAAATATATGAAAATGTACATACAAGATGCCCGAACAAAAAAAGAAAAAACTACAAGTAGTATTCTAGGTTTGATACATCAGCCTATTGGGTATTGGCATGGCGATGTGGCTCGGAGGTTGAAGGTGTAGCAAGATCAAGTACTAGTAGTAAGATTTGGAGGTCGGATATCTGTATGGCTCGTACAAGGTATCTTACGTGCCTGACATAGGCCTTCATCTCCTCGCCCTGGGTTCTAATCTGCTCGCCCTGGGCCCTCATCTGCTCATCCTAGGCCCTCATCTACTCGCCCTAGACCATAAGCTGACCCTTTCGGGTTGTCACTTCCTCCTTCAATGCACTGACCTCTGCTGTGTTCGATTTGGAAGAAGAGGCACCAATCTCACGAACTCGCGCTTTCCCCATACACCGAACAACCTTGCCATGACGACGATCGAAGTTCTTACCCATGACATTAGTCAGCAGCTGAAAACCTGCATCCTTGGGTACTGTGACGTCCTCGATTGGGTCTTCGGGGGAAGCTGCGATGTTGCTTCTTGGAGAATAGCAGTGCGCTATTCCACCATAGCAGCCTGTAATAATAAAGAAAAAAAAACATATAATGTTTAATAACAGAATATAAATAATATTTGAACGATTCATACATATAAGAATAATAACAATTACATATCCTTACAAGAAGCTGCTCAGCGGTCTCATCACTAGGTCAAACGTAAACATCCATGAACATGTCGATCTCTGGGAACTTAGAACCCTCCTGAAGAAAAAAACATTAAGAAAATTTTATTAATCAATAATTATAAATAAATTGTATAAATTTTCAAATTGTAAAAATTAATATACTTTTACCTGACATCGTGCCTTAAGCCTATATGAAAAGGGCTTCGAACAGGAATGGTGGAGAAGTGTCTTTGACTCCCGAGCTTTCTGGCCAGCTATAGATTTCTTCTGTTAAACACACAATATACATCTTAGTGTGACTACTTGAAATAAATTAATAAAGGAAGCTTAACAAAATAACTAAAACAATAATAAATTATTATTAAAATATTATGTACATACCGCAAATTTTGGGTCCGTAAAATGTTTGTAGAGCCACTCCCAATCCTCCGGTCGATCCTACAACTCAGTTGGGCAACCATGTAGGCGAGCAAACTCCGGATCATCCCATAGCTTAAAATGCATGTGAAGATTGTTCTTCTAATGTTTGTACCGAGTTGCCAAGGTCTCTTCTAAGTAGGCCATGGCCTTAGGGGATATGTCCTCAAGATTAAAATTGACCTACGAATATGAAAAATAATAAAATAAAGTAAGAAATTTAATAATATTAAGATAATATATTTTGGTTTTCAATATTTGTAAACAAAATTAAAAAAATGATAAAGGCAAAAAAATTAATATACTAACTGACAACTTTTCTTGCACCAATTTTTTCGTCCCCTCGGGAATTTCTGCCCAAGACTCCCACTACATAGGACACTTTTGTTTAATAACAACACCACAGCTACTAGCTACGCTTCTATGCTGCTGTGAGGTAGCCCTTCCACAATGTTGCAAGTCATACTCAATCTTGATCCTGAAGCCGGTCAGACGTACGCTCTGTGCCTGCTTCAACATTCGACTAGGCCCCCTGGTGTTTTTTTTAGCTGGCCAAAAATAATTAAATGGTGAAAACCCTAAGCTTAAATTTGTACAGAAATTTGACATAACCTCCCCAAATAGTATAGCATTTCCCAAAACCTTAAAACAGTAAAATAACAGTAATTCACAACCCCCATCACATTTTCACAATCCAGCAAATTTTCACCATAAAAAAAAAAAATTTAAAATGAAAAAAAAAAAATACAACATAGTGATCGAGAATTAGAAAAGAAAAAAAACCTGGCTGGGAGGCCTCACCCTCGACTCTGGATGCCGAGGAAGTGTGATCAAAAGGCTCCGGCTCACGGCGGCGCCGATGAGGCTGTCGTGCAATGTGTGGCTGAACCTGACATTGATGATGTCGATGAGACGGGTACCTAGGACGCTGTAGGAGTAGCCTCAGTAAGGGGTGTAGGCTCCTCAATCAATGGAGCACTCACGCCTGAAGCAGTAGATGCTGATAATGCAAGAGGCTCATTGGTCACACTCCGACGATGAGTGATCAATTGCGACATCTATACACTTTTTGAACCATAAAATTATAACATTAGAAACTAATCATTTCTTGCATTTGAAACTAATCAATTAGCAGCCAAAGTAATAAGTAAGTAGGTTACCAACATTCTTAATTTCAAAATAAGAGGAACTACCTATCCATTTTCATAGCCAATAAAAAAAAGTGCATCAAGTGAAACAAAAAAGAATGGGTAACCCAACACTGGGATTACCAAACATTGTAATCAATCAAAGGTACCAAAACTTCATTAGACTAATTGATATGATCAAAGTACCGTACAAAAACAGTTTACTTTGTACAATTCATTCAACCAGACACATGACCATAGAGACTAACTAGTAAACAGGTAGGAAGGTAAAAGAAGAAACTCCAAATGTTGTTATCTGACGGAAACAATATGTGGTAGGTAGCAGTTAATTGAAGAGAAAACATCTAAGTAATCGATTCGATTTGGTGAATCTTCTATAGTATGGTTGCACTAAATATGCACATGCATAGAATCTACTATTAGCAACTCCTTTGACCATATGATTTTTTCCACTTGTTAAATATCAAGAGAAACACTGGCCTGGACGAGCATCTCTACTATGTTTGATATATTAAGTTGCACCCTTTGGACCTTTGAATATGTCCTTGGGTAACAACTCAACTAGAAAGTCTATCTTTAACCCTAAAGTATCTTGAACTGGAATTTGAAGATGTACGTAATAACCAGAATAAAAAATGTTTCAAAAATAATTGATTCAAGATAATTTATTAACAAACAGTTCTTTACTAAATCAAAAAGCATCGAGATTACTATTCTATTCCTATATCTCTGCCTAGATCAAAACTTTAGTTTCATCTTGAAGAATAAGTTTCCCCTTCCTATCCTATGATTTTTCTTCACCACACTAAGACCACCTATTCATACTGAAATCGACGCAGCGTGAGATATTAAACAGGGAAATCCAACGAAAACCCTAACCTAAATCCATTAGAAATCTGGAATCCATCATAAATACATCGAAAATGTCACCAGGGTAGGAATGTTCCTAGAAAGGATAAAGTTAACTTTCTTGTAAAAACTGTAAGGATACATATCTCAAGCTTACACTTCATGAATTGTAGGGTGTGATAAAGAGATTACATTAATGTGCTATATCGTCAATATCTTAAGCATTTCATAGCATCATGTTTCAATATTACATATTTGACGATATATATTAAGAAGCACTATGTTGATGATATTAAACTTAGAAAAGTGCACCAATTAATTAAAATCAGAAATCGAAAGAACACACAAAATATCATATGCAAGTTCGTTCATAGCCTTGTTAATATAAGCTAGACCTAACAACATACGATATCCTTATAGCATAAGCTTAACCAAGAGTGAAACTTTACATAGATATGACTACTCCTATCCCTTTTCTTTCAGTTTCTACAAGCTTAAAGGATAGTAGTTTCCTAAAAAAAAAAAAAAAAAAAACTAACAAGAACACCTAATTCTTCAAATTCCACTACCTTCTTGCGACATTCTTGGCTCATGTTTCCGTGGAAACAATAAAGGGATTTTCATTCAAATAAAAAGCAAAAACACCTAAATTATCAAATTCCAAAACCTAGTTGCGATTTTCCTAACTCAATCTGTTTCGTTATATGTTGAAGGATCCGTTTGCTAAATTTACACAAGTATAAACCAAACCTTATGTTGAAAGAACACCTAAATTCTCGAGCCTTTCGTCAGTAAGGTTGACATGCTCTTTCCCAATATCTGGAGAGTATCCCAGAATAGGAAGGCTCAGCAAATATGCAACTATTCAGAGAGAAAATTTTAACCAAATCAATATGAGAACCATTCTCATAAAGTGGAAAATGGGATACAGGGTACACTTAAAGCTTTCAAGAACACAACAGCTTAAAAAGAATAGGAAAATTAAATAGTACAAATGATGAACTAATTTAAACTGAGACTTAAATTTAAGTCATTTTTCAGTACGAGGGATGAAGACTCAAATTCAAGTTATATTTTCGGTGATCTAGTTATGTAGTTAAGAACTTTGATATCAAGCAAAGTAGGAAACCCATTAATCCATTTAAAAAGCAAAACTTAAATTACTGATATGGTTAAACTAATCAAACTATTATAAAAGTTAAAATAGAATAAGAAATGGAAATTAAAACTTTGATATCTATTATCTAGATGCAGAGATACCAATTAATTAACCCATTAACTTTATCTTTCTGTAATATCAAATCAGATGTTTCCATTGCAGATGCAGAAGTACCTGGAGACCGTGGTGCAAACCTACCAAACTGGAGATGCAAGTTTGTATTTGCCAGAGAACTTTAACTTTATCAAACAAAAACGCTAATAAGAAACGTACTCAAGTGGAATGCAAACCTGCCAAACTGGAGATGCGACTTTGTATTTGCCAAAGAACTTGCACAAATTGTACAATCAGATGAGAGTTAGACGGAGTTGGAGACGGCTTATGACAAGAGCTGGAGTTGGAGACTTGCACAGATAATACACAAAACACACATACAGATCAACAAAATTGCAAAAACTTCAGACAATCAACTCGAATCACATCACGAAAAAAGCAATTTGACAAAAACCCAACATGCAATTTGAGCCTAAACCCTAAATAGCAAAAACCCATCAAAAATTAGAAACCCTCACCTTGATTTTGGGACTTGATTCGCATCGGCTTTGATATTCACGTGGCTGCCCGTCGTTTAGAATGACAGGGTAGTGGTAGTGGTTGGATTTGAGATTGTGAAGAGGAAGGCTTGCAAAGAGGAGAAAGATGTCTACGGGAAGGAGAGAAGGAGAGATGAGCGAGAGGGAAGAGAGTGGTCTATACGGGAAAAAGGGAAAAAGGGAAACGAGATGTCTACGGGAAAGAGGTCCAAACTTGAAAAATTGAAAAAAAGCACATATTTTTAACTGTTGCGGCGCCAAAATTATCATAACTTGTGCGATGTAGGTATACAATTTGACGTCGTGCAAAGTGGTTTTGCACAACGACCACGTTAAGGCGTCGCGCAAGGTTTTTTTTTTTTTTTTTTTAAATTATTATAAAAATTACTGAAAATACGACTTTACTCCTTTCAAATTCAAATTTTTTTTACATAAACACCACAATAATATATTTTTCTAGCCAAAACCCACAATATTTTTTTTTACATATATATCATTCAATTTCTTAAGTGTTATAATTACAAAATAAATAAATTAAAATCTACTTAGTAAATATATATACCATTGAACTTGATGGGAAATGCATTGTACGAAATTAGTTTCAACGATCCAACCGTCAAACTTGTTTGTATATGCTTTGAGATCGCATATGCCAAAAACTGCAAAAAACAAACATTCAGAGATCAAGTAACAGGACAAACATTTTCGACGGCAATAAATGAAAAATCATGATTTAACGGTTATTTTAACTCTGATTTTGATGATTTTTTACATCTACATTCTTTAACCCTATATGAATACAATAAATTAATTCGATCGTCAATTTAAAACATTTACACAAGTGGATACCACAAAATCTTTATGTTATACTTGATTAAAGTATAAATAAAATCTAAGTGTTAGGGAATCTATCGTTTTAAAGGGATACGCATTGTACGAAACTAGTTTCAATGATTCAACAGTCAAACTTATTTGTGTATGCTTTGATATCACATACACCAAAAATCGTAAACAAAAAGCATTCAAAGATCAAGTAACGGGACATACCTTTTCGACGGCAATAAATGAAAAATCATGATTTAACGGTTATTTTAACTCTGACTTTGATGATTTTTTACATCTACACTCTTTAACCCTATATGAATACAATAAATTAATTTGGTCATCAATTTAAAACATTTACACAAGTAGATACCACAAAATCTTATGTTATACTTCATGAAAGTACAAATAAAATCTAAGTATTAGGGAATCTATCGTTTTAATGGGATACGCATTGTACAAACTAGTTTCAACTATCTAATCGTCAAACTTATTTGTATATGCTTTAGAGATTGCATACACCAAAAATCGCAAAAAACAAACATTCAGAGATCAAGTGACGGGACAAACCTTTTCGACGACAATGAATGAAAAATCACGATTTAATGGTTATTTTAACTCTGATTTTGATGATTTTTTACATCTACACTCTTTAACCCTATA